AAACTGAACTTCTGTTCTCTACTTCACTGCACTTGACTTGACTCCAGGTTTGTGTTTCTTATCACACAGAACCTCCCTACTATGAAATATGAACTCTTGAGCTGCCTCAGAGATCTTCACTGAATAAATTCCCATTGCTTCCTCTGCCAGTCAGCAGAGTTGGAACTGTCCTGTCCTGTCAAACAACTTAAGCTGCCATTTCATTTAAAATACCCGTCTACTGACAGGAGCAGAGTGAGTAACCTTGGTTCTTGTTTGTCATGCAGAACTCGGAGGGATATCAGAGGGGCTTTCAGAACTTTTTGAGCATAAAGACGACTTTGTGAGGCTGTTTTTCTTCTCCTTGGCTACACAAAGACGACACACTGTCTCATTGATGAGTAGAAATGTGAATAAGTCAGAGTCCATGTTGAAGAATTTTTGGGGAAAGCTCCTTGATCACTTCCTAACCATAACAATCCTCCCTTTCAGTGGCTTTGACTGGACTGCGCAAGTTTCTGGCGATAGGTATGCGACAGCTTGCTATGTGCATGCATATGTGTGTGCCTGTGCCTGCTGACTGATGGCTCATGGTCATGGATGCCTGACTCTTGAGAGTGAACATCAGCAGGTTCTCTACGGTTGCCTCTCGCCTTGTTGATTTACCATGAAGAGAATCTCTTTTTTTCATTTTTGATTCTTTTATCAGTATTTTCTGCTTTTTTTTGCTTTGCTTTCTTTTAAAGCTTTTAATGCATTTTTTGCATAATGTTTTTATTTTGAAGTAACCTCATCCATCTGACTACTTCTTGATATAACAAAATTAGTTTTCCAAAGCGTGCTGCTGGAGATGTGAGGAATTATTTCACCTTTAAACTATATTACTGCAATAAAAATAATGGTACTTTTTGATGGTTTTTACATATCATTACTGAGGAAGCAATAAATGGGTGGGGCTGTAATCTCTTTACATGAAAACTGTAACTTTCATTTGCTGTTTTATAGTCTGAAAATGAACAATTAAGGACAATTAACCTATATAAGATGCATAATAGATTTCTGCAAAAAAAAAAAAGTTTGTATACATGGAGAGGTTATTGTTCTGGATTTTGCTCTTTAGGTAAGATAAATGGAAGTGTGTGTCTCATTCTGCCCATCTCTACACGTCCTTCAGGGGTCATATATCTGGCGATTCCATTTCGGTGACCTTTTCATGCCTGTTATGTTATGCCTGCTTATCCGTCACCGCCTCCATTTAAAAGGGCAGAGTGGTAATGGCACCCTGTTAAATTTCGAAATGAGATTTTCAAGGAAGAAGGAAGTCTTCTGAGTCCCGTCTGACAGCTGGACATCAACAGTCCTGCCAGAAGGCCTTTTATGTCTTCGCTAACCCCTCCGTCCTTAGAAGTGGCTCAGAATTACCTCTAATAGCAGGCCACGTGTTTGTTATTAGATGTGTTTATCTTCTGTTCCTCTGCGGAGTTTATGTAAACTGAATATGAACTTGCGCGTATGGTTTCGATTATTGAAGCTATGCCTCCTGTTGTTTTCAATGAAGTACCGTCATGAAGCACATCAGGCAGCTTTTTTGGCTAGACAAGATATTTACCCAATCTAAGCATGTAGCATACAGTTCCTCTGTCTCTCTAGTCTGACTTTAAGCAAAGCAGTGGCATGTGACTCCTGGCTAACGGGTTGTGGCTGACCCTCCAGAAATGAAATGTTGTTTTCGCAGCATTCTTTCATGCAAACCCTCTTGAACTTTTTCACACTTTGTGACTTCACAACCATGAACTGCAATATATTTTACAGGGATTTTATGCGAGAGGCCAACACAAAATAGTGCATTGCGACAATGTGGAAGGAAAATGTCACATGGTTTCCATGTCACGTAATTAGTAAATGGAGCCCACTTGTGAGTAATTTAATCTTAATATAAACACAGCTGTTCTTTGGAGGCCCGAGGTGTTTGCTAGAGAACATTAGTAAACAAATAGCATCACGTAGACCAAGGAATACACCAGAAATGACCGTGGTAACTCTGAAAAAGCTACAGAGATCCACAGCATACGACTAATGGGTTACCAGACAACTATTAGTCATGCATTCTACATATTTGCCCATAATTATCCATGAGCCTTGCAGAGAACACAGGATGGAGGTGCTCAAACCAGAAGAGAACACATTTGAGTGTGTTTGGCCCATATTCCAAATGTGTGTGGTGGAAAACTGACACCTCATTTCTGTGGTGAAATATGGTGGTGGCAGCACCATGCTGTGGGGACAGAGGCACAGAGAAACTAATCGGAGTTGATTGGGATATGGATAGAGATAAAAACAAGTGTACAGTCAGAAGTGCAGAGGAATGCTTCAGATCAAATCATATTCCTGCTAGAATGGCCCAGTCAAAGTCCAGATGTAAAGTGAACCGAAACATGTGTGAAGCTTTAAAAATCGCTGCTCACAGATGCTCAGTTTCCACTCTGACTGACAGTTAGCCACTTTGCACATGATCAATAGGAAAAATGTTTAGGTTTCTAGATGTGTAAACATACTCTAAAATACTTTTTAGCTTAAGAAAACTTTCAAAGTGTTTCATTTGCATTTCACTTTACAAAGTTGCACAGTTTTGTAAAGAACACAGAATTGTGTGGCTGCAATGTGTAGAAAAAAAAATGTTTTCGAGACCACCGAGTCTCTGACCTTTGTGGTAGCCGTAATAACCTCCACTGTGATCCCCTTGGAGTTGAATTTTCTTGACTTTTTCAGCAGAAGCTCTCAGTGTTTCAATTTTATTTCCTATTTTAACAGTAAGAAACAGCAAAGTTTGTAGCCAAAGAAGTTCTCGGGTATCAAAATCCTGCTATTCTGTATGCATTTCAGCTCGGATATCCATAGATGGCACTGTGCATCAAGCTGCACAGGTTTAAGATTACATCTTGAGCCTGATTCCCAGGAATTCTTTGAGATCGGAGTGACAGGTTATCAAAATAGGTAATGGGGAAAGCCTGTCTTAGCACATCCATTTCTGCTGTATCTTTTGATTGGGGTTACACATAGTCATCTGATAATGGGAGTTTAGAGGAGGGAGTTTGGATTGGGTTACATGGGGTCATGTCTGGGGGCAGTTGTTTCCGTACGGATTTATGGATACAATTATGCACCCATCTCTTGTTTCTAGGTTATTTTCTGCCTATTTACGTTTTGCACAGGAAATGGTCGTCTCTAAGTAGAGAACTTAAAAGGGCATGAAAGGCAGCTAGTTACCAGGGCGATGGTTTGTTTTACGGTTTAATATTTAGACTCGTGTTCTTCTTGGACCTCACTATATAAACAATTATGTGGCCTTTAAGGAAAGATTAGTGGCTCTTTTCTGCCCTTCGACTGAGCAACCCTACTTGTAGTCTCTCTGTTGCTACAGTGCTGTTTTCACCCCCTCGCACATTTCTTCTGTTTTTGCTTTTTTGTCTCACCTCAATGTTTCAGACAGTTCATGAAATGTTTATGTCAGACAAAAATAATCTGAATAAACACAGACAGTTTTCAAATTATAATTAGCTGTCCAAAACAATCTTAGAAACAGTAATAAATGAGTAGCCCTCCAAATATTGTAACTGTCATCAAGCAATTTCAATAACTTGCAATGGCTTTTTTTATGTCGCAGTGTGGGGATATTGACTCACTCTTTGCAGAGTTGTTCATAGTCAATCAGTCATTTTGGAGGATCTTTGAGCATGAGTTGCCTGATTGCGTATATGCTGAATTTAAGTTCAGACTTTAATTAGGCCACTCTAGAACTTTTATTTATTTAACCACCAGGGGTGCGCTTGTTGGTGTGCTTTGGATTGTTGTTCTGTAGCATTACCCGAATTCATTTGAGCTTAAAGATTTTCTCCCATATATTTCTTTTGGCACCAACTATAAATCTATCAATAAAGATAAAAATGTCAAAAATGCATTCTGTAAACACATTTTTAATAAGATGGCGAAAGTATCTAAAAACAATAACCCTACGGACACCATGTTTGATCGTCAGTATTATCTTCCGTTTCTGAAATGCTGTAACTTTATTGCCGCCTTTCAAAAATGTTCCCCTTTTGGCTTTTAATAGCACAGAATATTTCCACAAAGTTTGAGGATCAAAAGAAACTTTTGATGTTTTTGGTCTTCAGTGGTTTTCACCTTGGAACCCATTGATCGTGTTTTGCCTATTTCTGTTAACATATGAAATGAGAATTTGAAATCTACAAATCTGCAAATCTTCAAATTATGTCTTAAATTAAAATTTCTTTGATAAAAAATATTTATTTGTGACAAAAAAAAGCAAAACCAAAAGAAATCTGAAGGTACATGTACATTTTCCTAATGCTGTTTGTCAAAGACAACAGGAACCAATCTTCTACACTGGTGTACAGACTGTACATATTTTGCAAGAGTAACTACATTACAAGTACTCTCTAAACACAAGGGTGATCCTCAAAGGACATTACAAATGTCCCAGATAAATCTTCTTTCTCACATCAGCACACCTGCACCTTAATCCATCTATGTGAGGTAACGGCTTTTGCAGAAATGGGACATTCTTTGAATTAATACCTGCTCTCATAGATGAACACACAAAAGCTTTTACTGTCTTATTACTTTTGAACGTGCTAGTGTGTCTGAGCTCATTTTTAGTCCACTAAGAGGCTAATTGTTGTGGTTTCCTGCTGTAGTTTACATTCCCACAGCCAGCTTGCAGTGTTTAACTGGAAGCCTCCTGCCATGCGGAGTCTTGAGGGTTGTCAGCCAAACCAGGGCTGCTATCTGTGTGTGTGTATGTGTGTGTGAGAGAGAGAGTTTTACGTGAACTCCAGAGTGCTGCAGAAGGTATCCAGCTAAGACACCGCTCTGTCTCATCTCTATTCCCGTCTGGAACGTATTAATCCTGTGAGAACTCTCTCTGTCTCTTTCTCTTCTGCAAGTGTCTCTGCTGGACCCTCTCCCTCATTCTCGCTCTTCTCTTCTGTTTGTGCCGGCAGGCCCGACCAGGAAGCCCAAATATGTAGAGAGCCCTCGCGTTCCTTCTGATGCCATCATGTCAGCACTCAGAAAGGTGGCTGATAGCAAGGATTCCTCCCACAGTGGTGAGTTTTGTTTAAGCTATTTTAGTTTTTATACATAAAGAAAGCATGCACATCTCAGAAACAGAATCTAGACTCGCCCCGTTCAGTTTGACGTCTGCAGCTTCACAACTGTTTGAAGTGTCTCCCTGCAAAAGTTGATGCAAAGATTTTTGCATTTGAGCCTTCCTCTACTTCATCTAGTCCCTTTTGCAAACACAATAGTACTGTGTTTACCCTCAACAGAGTGTTTATATTACAGAGGAGTCAGTTTTCCACTGTGTATGGAAGCACTGTTTGACTGAAGTGCTCAGTTTTTATCACAAGAATCTAATGAGATCTTTTTTAATCTCTCTGAAGCTCCACATACTTGTGTTCTCGTGTTTCCACATTTCTGTAAGGTGTGCCTTCAGCGGTACTGCAGCCTATTTTTAATTTTTTTTCCCTTTCTCCTGTTGGGCGTTGTGTTTGTGTGTGCATGGGTAATATTCCTCCAAGTAGTCTTGTTTTGATTTCCAACAGAGCAGGGCTGGTTCAGATTCCTCCCACAAGGCTTAAGTGGAAGATGTAGAACACGTTATCTTTAGCATTGCAGGAAGAGTGCCCTTTAACTGTACATGGCTTGTATATGCAGACCACAGCCATCTGCTGCACCCCGGTCGCTGTTGACTGGGACATATGAGACATAAGGGTATCAGACATTTGGCTCAAACACATCTCAAAGAAAGCCACCAGTAGATAGCGGGCACCTGATAAAAGTTATCTCGTGACAGCTGGTGGAGTGATGCTACTGGTCAGCTAATTTTAAGAGGATGCAAACTTGGAGCAAATTTTTAAGATATTTATTTTCTATGTGAGTGGAACTTTGAAAGGCTGGAGTTTCCTTTATGCTGATGCCATAAGATGAAGTCCTGTCCAATCATCTGTCTTCAGAAGTCACCTAATAGAGTTCATATGTGTATAATTTGATCTCAGTTTGAATGCAGCTGTTGCTGTGAAGGCCTCAGAGGTTTGTTTGAGAACATCAGTGAACAAACATCATCATGAAGACCAACTAACACAGCAGACGGGCCAGGAAGAAAAGCTGTAGAGAAAGTTAAAACAGTCATGGAAAAGCCAAGATGTTCTTACAAATAATAGATGCTGTTTATTATAGACTTTTGTTTGAGGTTCTGACATGATCATGTCTGTCAGTGCTGACAGTAGCGTCTAACTTTTCTTCACAGAGGGATTTATGTAGGAAAAATGCTAGAATAAGTGTATTTAATGGGATGTTTGAGCTTCACAAGGGTTGTAAAGAAATGTATAAAAGCTGCCAGAAGGGTGACGGTCTTGGCTGGGTCAGTTCAGGAAATAAAAGGGGGCGGGGGGAAACCTGAACAATAAAAATGAGTTTAGCTCATTCTTATCACCCCTAGCAGAAGTAAATGATGGTAAAATCTCTCTGGTTGTGCAGCCGGAGGGGTTTAAGCTTGGTTCTGTTCTCCAGAAGTGACTTGTACATGTTCTCAAATATTGACTCAGCCTTCAAAGAGCAAGAAGAAAGAGCCAGCCTGTTTTTAAGGACAGGCAGCTTCCCATTTGTGCCTTTTATTATCGCTATGTACAGTTATTCAATAAATGCAGGAGAAAAGTCAATGTATCGGTCAGGAGAACTGTTCTTTGTCTTTACTCACAACCATAATATCAAGTAAAAAGACTTCAGTGAGGAAAAATCTGTGCTGAGAAAACCAATTGACTCAACTAATTATGTGTAATTAGGGACTTTACAGATTTTAACCAATGATTGGCAATCATGGGAGCCCAGCTTCACACAGCTGATGGATCTCTGATATCAACATAGTTTGTTTTATTTGGATAAATTCACACACACTGAAGAAAAAGATTTAAAACACATTCTCTTGGAGTTCAATTTTTTCTAAGCATGTTTTGTTTTTGCCTCTTAGGTCAAGAGATAAACTAATGGGCATTACTTAAGTCATTCAGCGAAACAGGATAGCAGCTACATTTTCCTTTTCCATTTCATGTTTTAGACGGTCCTTCAAACTTCCTCCTGAGGTCATCGACTGAAATGTTTCTTTTAAAACTTTTTAAAGGAGTACCCCGGTCTGCTTGGCACCGTTTGACTGCCTTACTTTTTACTTTGCAGTCCAAATTTGGCAACATCTGATATTCTGCATCTTGCATATTCTGGATGAGCTCTTCTGGGTCATTGTTAAAAATAATGTCCCCACCTCCTCCATGGTTGGAACCACACATTGAGATGCCATCCGTTTCCTTTTCCTGCTCCTTAAAAAGACATGGAGACTTTAGGATGCACTGGACCATAGTTTACAGAAGGGTACCACAGTTTATAGGTGGGGTCAGACTGTCTGTCCAGTGCTATTGTTCTTAAAGTTTCCCTTGACTGTCTGTGACCAAAGGTTTTCTTTCCCTTTGAGGTCAAGGTAAACTTTTAAGCACACAGGAGGTTAAATTTTTCATATTTATCACCATATACGTGGTATTCAATGTGCTTTGATGCCATGCAGCTGTACAGTCTACCTTGGTATGGTTGTCATTTCTCAAATTTAACTAAGTGTTTCCATAGTTGTAGTGATGCAATTTAGATTTTTTTCAGTATTGATCTTCAATATAAAAGCTAGGTAAACCTTATTTATGAATACTAGAATACTAGCAACCCCACTGTTGCCAACTCAGCGACTTTCTTACTACATATAACATTACTGACAAAAAAAATCAGTATCAGTCAAAATCGGATTTGGGAAGTCGGGCTTTTTAAAGATCGGTAATCGGCAATCGGCCAGAAAACTGCAATCGGTGCACCCCTAGTACAGAGGGGCCCTCAGTGTTTGTGTGCATTAGGCATCACAGCTGCCTGTGGCTATCTAAAGTCTGTGAATACTTCTGCTCTATTTATAACTGCCTATTTTAATAGTTCAAACACCAAATATACCTTTATATGCATTAATGCGCACAACAGAAGCTGTCTGGGCTCTACCATAGAACCTAATGCCTACAGTCTCCCTTATTTCCTCTCTTGGTACAGCCAGTCGACTCCAAGGATAATAAATGGATCTCTTGGATTGGCTGTTTGGCAGTGTCAAGTAGCATTTTACCTACACGTTTTATTTTCCCAAGTTGCAGGAGAAAAGCTGTGGGAGACGGTGTCCCGTTAGCCGTTTTAGTTGTTTTATTTTTACAGTCAAGCATAAATTACCAATTGTGTTTATGCTGTCTTCTTGAAATGCAGAATTATGCTAGATTTGTCATTTGATGTTGCGACACTATGAACTGATTGCTGCCTTGACGTCATCAGAGGGTGTTGACAGAGAGCCAAACAAATTCGAGTTGGAAAGTCTTCCAGCATGGAAAATGTGACATTTAGGGAGCAGATTTATAGAGGGTTTGCTGGTGGGCGTGTTGAGTGATGCCTCTCTTGAATGTCAGATAACCCATGGTCCACATCTGTCGTCTTTGAATGCAGCTAGCGTGTTGCTTACAAGCTTTGTTAAATCGAGGACTGCAAAGATTTTTTACTCTTCAATAAACTTCGGTCTTTCAATACAACTTGATTTGTGTCCCTCTGTTTCATTTGGCTATAAAACAATTCAGATGTTGGCAGATTTACAGATGGATCTCACTTGTTCCTCTCTTGGTTTGGACTTTCAGCGTAGTCGTGCTCTGTATTGTGGACAAGCAGGATGGGCTGTAGGCTAAGAAAGGAAAGACAATTTTGACCCGAGTTGAGTCTTTCCACATGGCACTGTCACTGTGGATGTATTGGGTTTCCTCTGTCAGGGTATGAATGCAGAATATATTTTTATGTTGACAAACCCTTTTATCTATGTTTTTGTATGTGTGTATTTGGTCGCCAGAGGCGGCCCGCATTCTGGCACATGAAATTGTTTCAGCTGCCTTAGAGCCCTGTCTCTGTCAGTCATCCATGAGCCACAGGTTCTGTCCTGCTACACAATTGTATTCTTTCCAAATTTAACCTTGAGCCAAACATTTGACACGTCTTCATAAACAGGTTTGTCAGGTTTGCTACTACTGCTGCTGTTGTTTTTGTCTTTTAAGGTGGTAATAATCTCCTGCAAGATGCATGTTGCTTGATAATTAGTAGCTTTTGGAGCATTGCAGATATCACAGTATTCAAAAAGATTCTGTTTCACTTGTTTAAAAAACAGGGAGAACCCTCAAAGCTTGACAACAAATATTGATAAAGCAGCTTACTCATATATGCAGGACTTATTTTCATGTGCAGTGTTTTACAAAAATATTTATGCCTCTGGATCTTATTCATATTATGACCATAAAGTTAAATGAATTTTAATTGGGATTTGGGATTACAAATTAACATTTTTTTAATTATGCAGAGGTGTAATTGGCTTACTTCTTAAAGCAAATTGGTTGAATTTCTTTTAGAGGTACCAGATTAAAGGAAGCTGAATACAAATTCTCATCATGCCTGTGATTTATGTTTAATAAGAATTGTTGAAGACATGTCATTTTCCTCCTTCGTCAACACTTTGCACTAATTTATGTTTCTCCATTACATAAACCCAAGTAAAATATATCAATTTTGTCATTTCAGCTTGATTTTTATTAAATGTCATATTTAATCTTAAAGCTTCATTACTATGGTTGGTTATTTCCTTAAAATACAGCCACAGTTACAAAATGTGTAACTGTTGCTCTAATAATTAACCAAATACCATCTGGCTCCAATTACAGTGTTTACTGCAGCCAGGCTATACTGTCAAGCTGAGACATAAAGGCGGAGATGATTACTCGCATCCTATCCCTTGCCCCAAGCATTATTTTATTTGCAGACTCTGTATTGTCAGTAATATCATCCTAATTTCCACCAAATTCTCATTTGACTCTCCCATCTGTCTGTGCATTAAAGGACATTTATGGTTTTACCGCTGGAATGTCCAATCGGACAGCTCGGTTTGCTTTAAGGGGCATGTCACCTTGTAGGCCTGAACTGAAAGGTGGGGGAAGCAGGATGCGTTCTT